TCTGTTATTTCCCCCTTCAGCTAGGAAAACCTGCAAAGGTTTATCCATCTGGGCCAGCATGCCTCTAGCAATACCATTCTCAGTCACTTTGTCTTGCTCTGTAATTTCTTTGGAGGTGGTGGAAGCACGTGATGAGTAACCTAGCTGATCATGTGTGCTTTGTGGACAAAGCTGTACTGTAGTTAGATGTCTTCTGGAGAAGTGCTGGGAAGGTTAATTGTAGACTAAAGTACCTAAGTATCTAAACAGGTATTTCCTTCTGTGGTTGAGGGAGTAACTGAGCATGACTTTGAAAATAATTAGTGACAATGTTGTCTTTGTAATTAAATTTGTCTTGAGAGCCCTGGTTCTGAATGCTGAATTGAAAAGCCTCTCCGCAGCACAGAGGTAATACACTGATCATCTGTGAACTGATTGCAGTTGCTGGGAACACTGAGCCTCTCCTGTTGTCACAGATGTGGTTGCTGCCAGATATGAATGTTTCTTCTGTGTTAACACTGCGGTGAAAACTCCTTGAATCTGTCTGCTTGTTCATACATTCAGTCACTAACTTCGTCCCATAAGAGCAGCCAGCCCTGCTTGGTGACAGAAACTCTGGTATGCCCCCATTATCATGAATATGACTTTCCATAGCCTGTGGGACATTATTAGCATAAACCTGCATTTTAGGCTAATGTAATGATAATGTGGTGGTGATTTTGTCTTTTGTGGAGCAGTCAAAATAGCTGCTTGCTAAATTGAATCTTTATCCCAATTACAGAGGCACCGGGTCACCCTCTATTTAATAAACACAGTTCACAGTTTGTGAATCTTGGACAGCGTTTCTGGCCCTGTGGGCATGTTCTTGTGTAGAAGCTGACTGAGCAGTGAAGTATGTACAAGACCTCCTTTGCCTACTGCTTTTTGCTGAGCACTTAATATACACGTGTAGTGGTGCTCCAAAAAGGCCTGCATGATCCTGCTCCCATAAATGAGTAAAGCCAGCTGATGCAAACAATGGTATGCTGTATGCTATCCCCCAAATCTGTATATGCTTCTATGTCAAATCCACTTCATTCCATTTGCTGACACTGACTTCAAAAACCTGAAGGGAAAAAAAACCCCAGCAAATAAAAACTAGACCGTATTGTTAAATTGGATTTGGAAAAGGGGTTTTAGACATGAATTTGTCTGGGGCGTGACCTTCTCCAAAGGAACATTAGAAGATTGTACTTAGCTTTTATTTTTAATATCTCCTTTAGATTGCTATGCCTGTCTGGCAAACTGCTTCATTCTTTTGTGAATGTTTCTTCCATGAAATAAAAATGATGGAGATCAGTTTTATCTCCTGTGGTTCAGTTAAATTTGGAAGTGTTAATTGCTTGAGAAATACTGAAGAATTGACTAAAGTTCTTGGTGAAAATTAATTTCTTTGTTGAACTTTTGAACCAGGTGTTTTCTTCAGTGTGCTTGAAAAGCTTGGGAATTAAGTAAAATTTAGTAACAGTTCAAATGTTTCTTTAACGGTATGTCCGTAAGTGTTGGCAAGATGCTGGCAAATTCTAGGGAATAGAAAAGTACATGTGAAGATACAAAATTGGAAATAGTAGTCATAACAATTTCAACACTACGGATTTAATCTCACTGTGTAACGCCTGATTAGTGATTGAAATTTGTGTCTTTGAGGATACAGTGTTGACATTTATGCATGATTATAATGTGATGTGTAGCTGTAATGAATCAGAGATTTATCTCTCCTGTGGCTAAGGAATTAATTCCAACATAGCAGTGATAATGCTGGGTGAAGTTGTAATGCACTTTGTGTTGCTTTGGTTGATAGCTGCAGTACTTGCAGAGCTTTCTAGCACCCTGCTTGCATGGGTGTTCACAGAAGAAAGCAGAAACAATGTCAGTTTAATTAACTATTAAAAGACAGCAATTTGGTCTGAAAAGATTTTTGTGGGGGAAAAAGGAGAAAAGAAATTCATATTGTGTGATGGAATGACAGGGCTGAAAATTGGCTGGTGTTTTGTCTAAGTGAAAACAAAAGGGTGTGCAGAGATGAGTTTCCTTATTCTTATATATATGATAATGCAAAATTTTCAGTGAGTTCCATGGCTGAGCACTGGGTTGGATTATTCACAGTGTGTTTGAATGCAGCCAAGACAGTTTGGTGGAGCCTGGATCTAATGTTAGCTGAGGTGTGCTCTGCACCATGTGCTTTGTGAGAGCAGCCAGACATCTTCATCTCTGATTCAGGTATGACATGCATACACTATTCTTGTGCTGCAGTTTGAGATTGTATTTGAATTGCACATACAGGACCTTTGTAGGAAGGAATCAAAGTAAATCTGGGTATTCAGTGCCAGTTTTCTGGCAGTGACTGTGAATGTTCCAGAATAATTAATTTCAAGCTAGATCCAAGTATGCAAAGCTCAAGCTTTTTTGTCTCATGTGGTCTAGACTACAAGTTTGGAGCCATTAAATGTGGATGTTACACAAACCTGGATGTCACTTTGGGTATGAACTCTGGGACTCAGCCACAGTATTCCAACAGTAGAGCTCTATTATCAAATGAAAACCAATGCTTAGAAAGACACATGGTCCAAACCTCCCCTTAATATCTCAGTACCACTACTGTTTATAGGTTCACATGTTTAGGCCAAAACTGTATAGCAGTCATGGGATGAAGGAGGAATGTTGAGGAAAAGAAGCAATTTAAGAGCATTTTTATGGCTGGGATAGAGACCAGATAGCATTGTTGGAATGTTTTATGTAATGCAGTATTTCAGAGGAACCTGTAGTAAGTCATAACCTGTATAGTTATGGCAGTGTGAGTTGATGATATTGCTGTAGCCTGTATTTTAAAACTTCTAATAGAATTTATTCTCAAATGCATTATTGCATTAGAATAGAAACAGCAAACTCCCCGCCTTAGTGTGCATATCGGAAATGGATATTCTTGTGTCTAATTTAAGCCATTTCTGAGAAAGTGGGTGAATGGGGCAGTGGGACAGTGATAACAATAACCCTGAGATGACTAGATGGCTTTAAGCATGGGAAATGACTTCTCAGAAGAAAAGTAGCTTGTGTTAGGAAAATTTTTATTGCTTGAAAGATGAGGTGAATGATTGAGTATGTCTAAATCTATTCTTAAAGGACTACCTTTGTGATCAGAAGATGGGTCAGGAAGTTGGGAGAGAAAGTAAAATAGGATGTCTAAATAAAGTTCAGTCTTCTGTATGTCATCTGGTTGCATGGTAAAACAGTATAGATGTGTGTGTATATACCAAATCATCCAGTCTCAGGTTGTCATGAAAGAAGAAAATTTTACTTTTCTCTCTTGACCGAGCTGTTGCTGATACTTACCAAAGCTGTTGGTCCTATGGGTTATGCTGGTCCCCTGCTACTGCTAAGTAAGAGCCTTACTTGCTGCATGTTGGCATTATTGTTCGGCATTATGAAGAGCATCCTTCAAAAGGTGATGGAGACAAAACTGGAAAATTAATTAAATTATTATTTCATTTCTTTGTTGTTGAATTTCACATGATCATACACTTGCACGTTTGTGGTTTGGCTTGTTCCTTCAGATTGTTAGTTTAGAATCAATACTTCAAAGAATGAAAATCAGCCTAATCAGTTGCTAACTGGGTGAAACTTCCTGCTCCTTCTGATCCCCAAGGAGGCAAACTTTTACTCCAGAACTAAAGTATGTAGGACTTTGTGAGCATCAAATAAGCCCAGCAGAGGCTCAGAGCTTAGGGGGAATATGGTCGTGGCATTCTCAAGAACTAGTCAGCACAATGCTGTGGGAGCAGAGGGAAGGAACTTGGTGATCCTTCTTTTGATCAATTCATAGACTATGTGCCTTATAGAAAAATCTGGTGAAGTCCATCATGACTTGTATAATTACAATATCACTCAGTATAAATTTGCTTTACAGTGTGCTTTCTGGTTGAGTCTCTGACCTCTGATTTTTGCTCTGGACTGGGCATCCTTGGTTCTGTCAAGTGCTTTTGTTATTGGCTTTCAAATCTTCAGACATGAAATTTTGACAACCCTTTGGTGTTTTCAGGAGAGTTTGAGCTATATAATTTAATTCTAATGACTTGGACAAGTTGCCTTCTGCTTTGTGGGATTTTTACACTTGTTCTACAGTTCTTTTTTAGAAGTTGTTTAGCATTGGCTTCAGTGCCCTGTTGGTGGGTTAGACATCTCCAAGGCTTCATGAAAACCTTAATGATTTGTTTAATAGCTGTGGTGGGTTGACCCTGGCTGGATTCTGGGTGTCCACAAAAGCTATTCTATCACTCCCCTCCTTAGCTGGAGAAAATATAATAAAATGTTTGTGTGTGGGTTGAGAAAAGGACAGGAAGAGATCACTTGCCAATTACAGTCATGGGCAAAACTGACTCTACTTGGGTAAATTAACTGAATTTCTTATCAGTCAAATCAGAGCAGGGTAATGTGAAATAAGAATAAATCTAAAAAAACCTTCTACCCATCTCTCCATTCTTCTCAGGTTCAACTTCACTCCTAATTTCTCTACTTTCTCCCCTCCAGCGGTGCAGGGAAGTGGGGAATGGGGACTGTGGTTAGTTCAACACGTTTCTTCTACTCCTTTCTCCTCAGTGGGAGTACTCCCACATTCTCCTCCCATGGGATAAAATCTTCCAGAAATAGTTCCAGTGTGGTTCACAATGGGGTCACAAATATGCCAGCAAACCTGCTCCAAACTTAAGACTCTTCTCTCCATGGGGTCACAGGTCTACTGCCATGAAGTCTGGTTCACTCCAGTGGGCTTCCCTTGAGGTCACAACCTTCTTTGAGCATCCACCTACTCCACTGTGGGATCCTCCCAGGGCTGCGGGTGGATCTTTGCTCCACCATGGGCTGCAGGGGCACAGCTGCCTCACCATGGGCTGCACCAGGGGCTGCAGGGGAATCTCTGCTCTGGTGCCTGGAGCACCTCCTGCCCCTCCTTCTGCACTGACCTTGGGTCTGCAGGGCTGTTCCTCTCACATGTTCTCAATCCACTCTCCAGCTGTAGTTGCTCAGCAGGTGTTTTTTCCCTTGTTAACTTTGTTTTTGCAGAGGTGCTGCCACCATCCCTGATGGGCTTGGACTTGTCCTGCAGCAGATCTATCCTGGGAGCAACTGGCATTGGCCCTGTTAACATTGGGAAATCTTACAGCAGCTTCTCACTGAAGCCACTCCTGTAGCCCCATCACTACTAAAACCCTGACACACAATGGCCGTGTTATAATGTAAATATAAATGTGGTGTGGTTTATTTTGGATTTGTTTCTTTTTAATATAAAATGATAACATCACAGGGATGTTCAAGGATTTCTCTTTTTGTTTAGTGAAAGTTACGGAACTTGAGACTTATTCAACATATTTTCTGAATGGATGCTATAGTAGGCGAGTGTAGGGTAAATAATCTTTTTGCTCTTGGCAGGATTTGCTTTGCTTAACTGTAGTAATTTAAAATGGTTATAATTTCCTCAACATTAAACTGGCATAAGCTGTTAGTTTTGCCTGAAAGGCAATTTGTTCACTACTGACTGCTTGCTCTTACTTGGTGCTGTTATTTAGCTGGAATTTTATGCTACTTTAAAAGGTGCACAAAATTGCAGCTTTCAAAGCATGCAACCTGATTCCTGTATTTTGGTTCATTCTTCAATGAATGGAGATGCTTTCTGTGATGTGTGTCTTACCTCTCTGAGTGCAGACCTAGTGTTTAATTCTGAAAGAGCTACCAGTGGTTAAGATGAATCTCACGCTTTTGTAATGATGGATGACTTTTCTGTTTTGCTTCATGTTGCATTAGCTTGCAAAGTGATTTAAACCAGTGACATTTACATGATAGATAGTTGCCTTTCTCAATGAAAAACTGTAGTGTTTGGTAGCAATAATAATAGTAATACTAATACTAATAATACTAATAATAATGAGATAGTGTGTCACTTTAAAGAAAGAGAATATCCTATGCAAACTTGTGCTCTATATATCTGCTTAAACCATCTTTGTGGTTGGGAACATTTTAATACCCCATTGCATGGGAAGTTTGAATCATGTTTTACTTCTGAACTGTAAGCTTGTTTCTAATACTAATGTAGTGTTAACTGTGTTGTACAGGCATGGAAGTAATGAAGCCTTTAATTGATGAAGAAGACTCAGATGGCATTTCAGATGAAGAGCATGAGAATGCTTTCCTGCCAGTTAAGACGCACTACCAGCTTGATAATGAAGAAGGCATTACGTATGTGTTAATCTTAAATATCAGCTTGCACAAATTTCTTGCCTCTGACTTGTTTCTTTTGAGCAATTTTCTGAACTCTGAAGGGGTCTTCTTGTACCTACAGAACAGTTTTGTGGTTTTACATAAGGACTTTGCATAATTCTCCCCAAAGCCGTCCATTTTGAAGTAGGTTCTCATTTCTTTTGAAGGTAACAATGTACTGGCTGTAAAATATTTCAAGGTTCCTACTTATAAAGTGATTAGTCTACTCAAAGTCCAACAAGCACTGTTAGGAAAAGATTTAGAGAGAATCTAGATATAACCTGTTTTGAAAGTTTAATTAGAAAAGCTTGTAAATGTTTTATTTTATTCTTTTTTTCTTTGTATAAAGCTTTGGCTGACAGAATTGTGATTTGCAGCTGATGATTGTTTTGAATGTTGTAAGTTTTAAAATAACATTGATGAAACTTGGTAATTTTGAGTCTGAGGCAAAAGAACTACGAAATTGCTGTGAAATTAACATTTCACAAACTGGAGTAAAGAACTGAAGATCAGACTTTTGTGTTCTATTTGAGGGTGCTCACATGTAAGGACAAATAAAATCATTATTTGAATGTGCTGCACTTCCTTTAAAATAGCTGGACCACTGTAAATTGTAACTTGAAACTTGAAATTTATCACTTGATTATAGACAAAGGGTGTGGTTTTGTTTTTCCCCCTCTACCCCATGTATGTGTATTTCTAATGTGATATTTTATCCTCAGGTTTATGCAAACACTGACTCACCTCCTCAAGGGAAACATTGGAACTGGGCTTCTCGGTCTTCCGCTTGCAATAAAAAATGCTGGCATTGTGGTAAGAATTCTTTTTTTATAGACTAGAACAATTATCTAGAAAGATTTATATCGTGAAAAATTAAAATCTCAGTACTTCTTATTTGTAACTGCCATCTTAATAGAGTTGTGTCATTTCTTCTCTTTGGTTTGGGGAAATCAGTACTGAAGATTTAGATTTTATTGTTTTAAAGAAAATTACTACTTCATCCTGAAGACTTCATTGCATGAGTTGCATTTTTGCCTAGCCAAAGTATTTTTCTGGCCCAAACAAAAAGTTCGCCAGAAAAAAAGAAATATTATTATTTACTCAGACTTCTGTGATGTCTCATGGGAATTGTTTCTATGGGGTTGTCTTACCTTTGTACAGACTTCTCTAGAGACAGATTGTATGTGTTAGGATGAAGTTTCAGCTTGTTAAATTAATCTAGTGTTTCTGCAGAAATAGGGTATAGCCCAGGTTGTTTATACCTGGTAACAAGCAAACCTGCATTTCCTAGGGCAGGGGAAATTTAATAAAATGAAATTTTCACCTTATGACTAAATAATCCTGTCATTCCATAGTATGGGTTGTTCAGTTTGAGAGTGAAAGTTACATGTGGGTAAGGCAAGTTAATTCTGTGAAAACTCCTGGTCAAGCTTCTATTCTGAAACAAATTATTTAATTTGATAGTTATCTGTAACTTGTAACTCCTACTGTCATTGCCACTATCAAGTGATTCAAACCACTGAATTGTGCAGTCTATGCAGTCTTCTTTCTTGACAAACTTTTTTGGCAAGTGAAACAGAAGAGTGGAGTATTCGTTTGGTACTTAAGGCTTGATCACCCCTGAATAGCCTTAAGTAGTGAACTGAAACTAAGGGATGACATGAAACATCAGCAGCAGCACCCCGCTGTGGGGTAAAGAGTTTAATTATTTATTGCTACAATGTGAAGTTTTTTTCATGTGAAGATTTTTCCCCACCATATTTTCATGAAAATTTCTGTATCTCCTGTGTCATTCCTTTTTTTTTTTTTCCATACCAGGTTGGACCAATCAGCCTTGTGTTCTTAGGAGTTATATCTGTTCACTGTATGCACATCTTGGTACGTTGCAGCCACTGTCTGTGTCAGAGGTAAATGTGGAACTACTCATTCAGTTGCTGAGTTGAAGTATTTTTTTTTTTTAATTCCTCTTTTCTGTGTGTGATTTTTGGTGTACAAAATATTCTGGTGCTGTAGCAGTTTCTACTGTCAGTTTAGAGTCTTCTGAAATTCTTAGTGTGCACCTAGTAATGATAGCTATGCTTTGTGCAACACAGTGAAAAAACACATTTGTTCTCTGCTCGTACACAAAATGAGGTTGGTTTAACTTGTGTTGCCCAGTACCTTCTTCCCTGCTGGCAAATAATCAGGTCTTTCTCATTGCAGTTTTAATTGCTTGCTTTCAGTCCTTCTTTATATTCATAGAGCTTCTGAGTCTTCATAGCTTTGAAAAATGTAAATAATTAATGAATACCTAGTTTATAAGTACTTTATAGGAGTAAAAGATAAACTAAAAAATACTGTTAATGTCTTCTATGATTATATGTGAGCTTTGTCTCTGAATTGTGGCAACTTAATCCTTTGAAGTAGTAGTGCTGAAGGAATGTGTTAAAGTGATGCTACTGATGAGATAAATATAAAATATTCCTCCAAGTGAGATGTGCAGTACTGTGGGGAAGCAGTTACGCAGATTTGACTGACAGAGTATTTTGATTAATAGCGACTTTCATTAAACATTTTTATTGTACTGTCAAGTGTTAAAGAGAAGCAGTGGGAGGGTCTCATGTTTGAAAGTACAATGAACTTTTTAATCACAAAACTATTCATGTCCCTGTAGCTGGAAAATCTATTTTACCAGATTAATATGATATTGTACTGTGAATGGACCCTGTCATTCCTGAATTTTTCCTCAGCAGTTTTGAATAGTCTTTAAAGTTGATGACCGAAATAAGATCATTGAATCAATTGTGATTAACTGCTTGTGCAGCAATAGTTGAATTCTGTTTAAGTTCTTTGTGACTTTTAGATTTGAGATTAATTTCTTAAGCTCATATGACAAGAATATGATTGTGGAGTAGTTTATCAAAAAAAACCACCTTCTTTTGTAAGAAACTCGTCTAGTACTGTTGAACTGGGTGACACAACACTGTGTTTCACATGCTTGTGAAGTGCTAAATAGCACTTCCTGGGGTAAAGAAGCTCAAACTATACCTCTGAAATTCAGCAGTAGCAGAGTGTTGCCACAGGTTATAATCATGGCCACTTGTTATAATCATGGAAGACCAACAGTATTTTCAGAGTAGGGTTCTAGGTCCTCATAGTTTCTGGTAACTCTGTTTTTTCTTCACTTTTCGATTTCAGGGTGAAGAAGTCCTCCTTGGGATATAGTGATACAGTTAGCTGTGCAATGGAAGTAGGGCCCCTAGCTGCTCTTCAGAAACGAGCTTCCTGGGGCCGGTAAGGTTGAACTAGAATTTAATTGAGTAAATTAATTTTTAAAAGTTAATGGCGGCACTTGGACTGATTAGGAGATTCCATTTTTCTAAGATTTCACCTTCCTTTAAAATGCTTTTATGCAGTGTTATTTCCTGCTGCCAGCTGATAATGGTGAGATGGGAGGATGTCTGGCTGTATTAGACATTTCAGTTTTCAGTTCTACTACTCTACAAGAGGTCTGAGGTAAAAGAATTCTGTTTAACAGTATAGGAAGAGATGTGTTATAACCAGAAAAGCATTTGTTGTCTAATGCAGTGAAGTACTTTAAGTTTTCATTCTGTTTTCCCAACATTTTTCTGCATTGCAGGTTAACACTGCAAATGTAACTTTAATGTATGTATTCTGAGGGGAAGCAAAACAATTCTTTGGTTCCTGTTTAAATATAACATACAAATAATAGAGAAATATTTATTATTTTTGCAATAAGGACATGAAGATATAAATGGCTTGTTGTGTCTGTTAAATATTTTATCCCTCTTTTACAAAAAAACACAATTATTTTTTCTTTGCTATCTGCTGCTGTTTGTAGAGTTTGTGATATGACTGTACAGTAGTGAAATTGTGAATCTGAAACAGATGTTGCTCAGCATTAATTTAAAGTGGTTTTTACCTCACTTGTGGAAGAATTTTTACATTCCTGTTACTTTCAAGGATGCAGCATCTTGCTAGTGAGCTAGTGTTTTAAGATGTGTTGTGATGACTTCATAGGACTGGAGTAGAGCTCAATTAGAGGAAAAATTGGTTTGTTGTGATACATAATGACAATTTTCTATTGCACCAAACAGTTACAAGCCTCAAAAGGGCAATTGGGTCTCCAGAGACTCTGCTGCTGCAGCAAATCCATTCTCTGGGGCAGATCTCTGCTCTGTGCCTGACTCTAGCAGAGTTTCATTACAGTTTGTCTTCAGGCCACCATTGTGTATCACTTTTTTCAAAAACAGTCTGAGCCAGTGTTATTTCAATGATCACCATGCTCTTTTGCCATAGGAGGAACCTGTACTGCGCTGCACAGGCACAGAGATTAATGTGGCATTTGAGTCTAGCATTTTGACTGCTCTAAAAAGGAGCAGTAATAGCATATTAGGTAGCAATGGGATAATTGTATCTTAAGTCTAATGTATGTTTGTTTTTTCTTCCTTAGGTATATTGTAGACTTTTTCCTAGTGATAACACAGCTGGGATTTTGTGGCGTTTATGTTGTGTTCTTGGCAGAAAATGTGAAACAAGTGAGTAATGCTGCCATATGGAAGTAGTTACGAGTTTAGATTCATTTTCCCTCACTTTTATTTCCTATAAAGCTTTTGGTTTAAAAGGGGCAGCGGGAAAGGTGAGCTAAATTCAGATCTTCTGAATTTACACTTGTGAAAGTGTATATTTCCTTCTGATTTGTTTGTTGAGTTTAAAAATTAATTGTGGAAATTATGGAAAATAAGGCATAAAATGGTGTAGGAGCCAGTTGTCCCAGATTTTTTTTTTTTTTTTTTGCTAGGCTTTCTGCTGACTTCCTTTTTTTCTCCCCAAACTCCTGGGCATATTTTATCCTTTTCATGTAACTGGATTTTTTTTTTTTTTTGGTTCTTGTTTAGTCCCTTCTATTCACAGAATCCACTGTATCTAAATGAATCCTGATTTTTGTTCCAAAAAATGCCTGACATTGACATTTCTACAGCTTCCTCACTAGTCAGTTCCAATGCTTTCTTTATCTGTTAGACAGCTGCTTCTTTGTAGAAGCTTCAGATTTCTTACTGATATTGTAAGTTCTTTATTTCATGTTCTAGCCATAAGTAATTTACTCTTTTCTATTTGTGGATACCTTTTATATTTTTGAATATTTTTATCCTGTCTCCCATTTATCTAATAGAAGGGAGACATGATATAATCTTAAAATTGTTTTTGCTTTTCTGTGAATGCTTTGAGTTTGGTCACATCTCTTTCTTTCAAGTTTTATCCCTGAAGTTGCTTAAGTCAACTAAACATTGCAAATGGATCACCACAGCCACAAATGCCTTTACACATCTAAAGCAACCCCAAACCTTTCAAGAAAACCCAAATTTCTTCCCTACAGCCATCAATCACTGACAAAAGCAAACAAAACCATGCCTATCACTTTTGTGACAGCTTCTTCTGCTTAAATTCCCCTGCTTTGTCTCTTGCTCTCCAGTCCTTCTGAGCTCCTTTCTCATAGGAGGATTCTGTTGATGGGGGTGGGCTTTTTGCAATTCCAGGACTCTACCAATGCACTCTGCTGTGTTTTCTGCTCAGGAGACTATGGTTAGTCAGTTGTCATAAAGCTTAATGACAAGCTCTCGATCTGGGCCTGTATCCATACAAGCACTGGTGAGGCAGCACGTCAAGTTCTGTGTCCAGGTCTGGGCCCTTCACTTTAAGATGAGATGCTGGAGTGAATCCAGAGAAGGACAGTGAAGCTGAGGAAGAGTCTAGAGAGTAAGTCATATGAGAAGTGACTGAGGGAGCTGGGGATGTTAAATATGGAGAAAAGGAGGCTCAGGAGTGACCATTTCATTCGCTGCAACTGCCTGACAGGAGGGTGCAGCCAGGGGTTGTTTTCTCCCAGGCAGCCAGTGACAGGATGAAAAAAGACAGCCTGAAGTTGTGCCAAGTTAAGGTTAAGGTTGGGCATCAGAAAGCATTTCTTCATGCAAAGGGTCGTTAAGCATTGGAACAGACTACATGGGGAGGTGGTGAAGTCACCCTTCCTGGAGGTGTTCAGGAAACAGCTGGACGTGGCACACAGTGCCGTGGTCTAGTTGACAAGGTGATGACTGGTCAAAGGTTGGGGTCTTGGGGGTCTTTTCCAACCCAAAAGTTTCTGTGACTCTCTGATTCTGTGTATGTTCCTGTGAGTAGCTAAGTGAGGAATAAGGTTGCTGAGCATTAATTGTCCGTGTGGATTCTTACTCTACCCATAAGGCAGGCAACAGATGTCTTGGCATAGTTTACCTTAATTTAATTTAGAAAGAAGGGTGTCCCCTTGGACAGCTAGCACGTGGAAGATTGCTTGGTTTTTTCATCCAATTGTGGATGAGTATTTATATTGTATTTAAGAAGTGTTCCAAGCTCTATGGATGAAGATCTGTCATGATGAGGCAAATTTGTGTATTTGGAAGTTGGATACTCTGTAATTTGTATGTTGTGAGGGGGAAAAAAAAAATCCCAGCCTTTAAAACTGTACTGCTACTGTCAGAATCTGCTGTTAAAGCTAAAAATACTGCCTGATGTTCTTTTGCTGGCCTTCTGAAATGAGATCTTTAATGCATGCTTTGTAATGTAAGTTTAAATTAAGGCCTTTCTTATCAAATACTTACCTGATCAACTGGTTATGTATGTGCTGTGGCCTTAGACAAAATATGAGACTGAATACTTGCTGACCTTGGCTTTTGTAGATTTGGAAAAAAATAAAGCAACCTAAGATGTGTTTTAGGAAACTGTGCTTTGTTGAGGAAAAATTGAAAGGTCTTACAGGAAGGCAACTGCTGCAAAAGAAGTAGCTGCAGAGACCTATAACATGGACCCTGTGGATGGGTGGATTAAAGTTATTAGCAGTTTAGAAGTTCCAATTGCAAATGTACTTGATTTGGACTGCCCTGTGCTTGCTCTTCTGTGAGGGAGAAGTCTGATTTCTTCCTGGCAATTTTCTATTGCAGAAATCAGTCCTGTAGAGGGCACCAAAGAACAAAAATTGGTATAGCCTAAATTTCTAATGATTTAGGGTAGTGAAAGGATGAGGAAGGTGAACAGAGGGAGTGAGGGGCGGGAAGGAGAGAATTAAGATAAAGGAAAAACACAGTAAAAATAGTACTAATTACTAATTGGCATACATTGACCAATACATTTGCATTATGATCTGTACTTTGCTCATCATATTTACATGTTGGTGTGTGCAAATTAAACCCATCAAATCTGGTGAAAACTTTTGCTGAGATTTTTCTGCATTACATTAGCATTTCATAGACACTGTGCTGCAAGATCGTATTTTCACTTATATTGAATAGCAAGCCAAGCTTTTCCTAAGGAATATTTTCCAGGAGCACCAAAGAAACTTAGACTGGGAACAAAAGGTCTGGTTAACTCTGACAGGATGTAGTAAGAAGCTTATGGGTGAAAGTGTTTCAGATTGTAGAAGAACAGTAAAGCTGAAACACAAATCTTGAGGACTGACTGCAGCAAAGCTAGGGAAGGAACACACAGGAATAGAAAAAACAACCTGTGCACGAAAGAACATGGTCCCCTTTCATACTGTATTTGCTTTGCATTTCCTGCTTTGACAGCAGAAGACCTTGTGTCAAGAGTCTTGGCATTTCATAGAGTCATGGAATTGATAAGGTTGGCTTTGCAAAGATTCTTATCAAGATCAACCAGTACTGCCACGTTCATTAATAAACGATGTTCCCAAGTGCGACATCCACACATTTCTTGAGCACTTAAAAGGGTGATGATCCCAAGACTTTTCCTGTACAATTTCCTCCAATACCTGACCACCCTTTTTAGTGAAGGAAAATTTATCAGCTTTCTCATGTGTATTTGCTGAGTTCCCTGGAAAAGTGTCCTCTTTCATTGTTTGCTGATTAAGCTAAGAAAAGAAAACACCTTATTGTTTTTTATGAGCATTTTTTTTAGATCTTTAGCACCTTGAAGATGACCCATCAGTAGCATACTATGTAGTGGAATTCTGATTTATTTTACATTTTTTTAGGGAAAAACATCACAAAACTTTGGAAATTGTGCTTAGTCATAAAACTGGATGTGTTAAAAATGTTGCAAAGTACAGTATTAAGTCGTAATGAAGTGCCAGAACTAAATGAACTGTGATACATTTATTTGGCCTGTTCATGCAAAATTACAGGGTTATAATATAGTCTTTATCTCTCTGATAGCATAATGATTTTGTCCCAGATCTGGCCTTGTGTATTGCACTAGCTGTTGCTCTGAGTTGAGTAAGGAAGAAATTAGGAGGAACCAGTGAGTTCAAGGACTGCTGTTTTGAGCTCACTAGATGTTGAAAAGTTCATAAAATTGCATGACAGAGTGTAGTTTGGGATACAGGCAAGGAAACAGTAGTCTCAGTTGAAGAGACTAAGGAAATGGAATTATTTCTTACTTCTGAGAGAGTTCCTGTAAGAAGGAAGATTGTTCATTGGTTCAACTGAATTTTTTTGCAGCCTCTATTTGTGCATTGGTTTTCTGAGTGGAGAAGGAACTTGATATCTAGGTTTGCACAAGTGTTTGATCTTCCTGGATTCAGCTGAAGCAGGTTATGTTATGCTTAGGCTGTGTAAATAAGTGAAAAAAACTGTTTCAGACATCACACCAGTATGGTAAATTAATGCTTGAGTAACTGAAGTAACTCCTGATGAAATCCTGTGCCTGGGGACATCATTATGCTTACTGATTTCAGTAGCTATATGCTTCCTTTCTAAAACCATAATGATATTTCCTCATGTGGTTTGGGGAAATGTTTGAGACCAGATCATGTTACTTCGTTCAGGACAAAGACAATTACATAGAGTGTGTGCTGTTCTTGGCTCAGCATGACTGCCACATGCAGTAGTGCACTAGCAGAGAGCAGCAGGGGGTTGAAAACAATTATTGTCCAGAATACAAATCTGAGACTAGGTTAGATAGAAAATGTGTCATAGTCCATCCTAACACAATCAGCAGTCAATTTGTACGGAACTAAACAGCGCATGAAAAAGTATAAAACCCCCAAATTCTTCCTGCTGTTTTATATTTTGGTACTTTTGGAACAGTTTTAAGTGTTGTTTGATTAATTTTTAAAAGTAAAATTTAGGGGAACACTTTGAAAGTCATGGTGATGTTAGCCGTCACCTGAAAAAGTTGGTATAATCTCATCGTCATTAGAGTTTTTCTTTGCTGTTCTGCTGTCAGATCTCTCACAGCCAGTTGCTCCATTTTAAGAGGAAGAATAGTGATCTTTACTTTTTATAACTTCTGCATTTTACTTTCCAACTCAGCTTTCTTCTACCTGTCAGTAACTTGTGCCTGTTTGTTTAGTTCTTCCACAAGATGAACCCTCGGTGAATCTTGTCTGGAGTGCCTCTTCTGAGTTATTGTATAGGATCCCTATTTACACATTTCAAAATCCACCTTTGCAGGATATTTTCTCTCGTCTTGTCTAGGCCCATAAGTGGCACTGCTCTGACTGGTGTTGTTAGAGCTGCTCTCTTGATACAAAGTTGGTTTAAAGGTATATATGTCCACAAAAGAGAACAAACTGCATCCTCCTGTGTATTTTTATCAGTATAACTGTGACCATGAGTCTGAATTTGTACATGATGAGAGAGCACTAGATGCCACCTGTTAAAGTGAAAGGCCTAAAGTGCTTGTTCTGTATTTCTGTTTTAAGTATGGTGGGAAAGCTGGAAGCTTCCACAGAGAGCTTAACTTCATGTGGCATTAGGGAAGTGATTTGGTTAAGTGTTTGATTTATTACTTGGCAAAGATGAGTTATTGTAACTGTGTTAATTTGATTCTGAATGTAATTAGAACTTTGTAGCTTTCTAAAATCAGTATCTTTATGAAAACTAACAGATGTTAAATATCTTGCAAGTGACACTTGAGATTCTTGCAAGGTAGAATTGCAAGGTAGAAACCATCAGTGATTCCATAATGACCAGTGATGTTCTCAAATAAAGTGAGATTTCTGGAAAGCATGAAAAAAAAAAAAAAAAAAAAAAAAAGCAAGTACAGTGCTTTTGGTTGCAGACAGGATAGTTTTAAGTTAATTCTCTCTCCCTGAATTTGTGGATTGTTTGAAACAATGGAAATCAAGCGAGTTTTTTCACTTATATGTCAGTTTAGCATTTTTGTTTGTCTCTGTGCTATAAGGATTTTTTTTTCACTGTCTAGGTATCTTTTTGTAGCCATCAAGCCAAAGACTTTATGCAGCATGAGCAAATTAAGTACAGTCATAGGCTAATTTGTAAGATGGTGAATGCAATGGTAGAGAAGGAAAGGATACCTAAGGGAGACAGCATGATGAGATTTAAAACGAATTGAACTGTTCTCATTTTGCAGTGAGCAGAATAACCACCAGCTCTGGATATTTTGATTGTGGTGTGCACACAGCACAGATGGCTGCGTACATTTCCACAAAACAAATTTTTGGCAGTTGCAGCCACACTCACTTCTTCCCAAAAGAGAGTCATGAATAGTCTCAAACTCAATCTTCTGATTTGCACTACAGGCAACTATTGTAATGTTATGTACAAGAAAACCCAATGCACTTTCACATTGTGTACAACTTTTAATTTATGGGCATTAGTTTATATCAGTTTATTATATACAGGACTCTCAATTCTGTTGAGATTATGGTTTTTAAAGTTGAGTTAATGTTCATTCATAAAAAAGTGAAGAGTGAAAAAAATTTATTTGAACTAAATGAAAGACAGGCATGTTCATAATCTAACATTACTTTGTAGGTATGCTGCTATGATGTGCATAGTGAAGGCATAAGGTTGTTAGGCACTGAACTCAGGTGCAATAGCATTTTGTAATATAACTCCCTTACACTCCCTAGAAAAATTCAAACTCTTTAAGATTTAGGCCCAGATCTGTCTGGCGTGCTTCCAGTTTACCAAACTGTCCCTTTCTGATAAACTGCATGTGTGGATTTCCTCTTTAGTCGGTGGTGGGATAATGGTGCTTTCAAGCCCCAATTTAATAATTTGCCTTAAGTATGAAACACTTGCTGGAAGTGCCTTGTCTTCCCCTCTGCACTGAGAGTACACATACAGGGATCTCAAAATTCCTGTCACTCACCAGGTAAAGCAGAGAGACAAATTTCCCTATAGGAGAACAGCAATGTGACCATATACTCACTGCTGCCACTGTTTAACATGCTTGTTTTGTTTTTTGCTTTAATAAAGGTCCATGAAGGATTCTTGGAAAGTAAGATTGCTTCTATGAATGCTAGTACCACTGGCAGTTCCTCTGAGAAAAGGAATACTGATTTACGAATATACATGCTGTGCTTCCTGCCTTTCCTGGTCCTCCTGGTCTTCATTCGTGACCTTAAGAGCTTGTCCTTGCTTTCATTGCTTGCCAATCTGTCCATGGCTGTCAGCCTGGTGATTATTTACCAGTATATTGTTAGAGTAAGTATAAAAAAAAATATTACCTGTTTTTTTTCAGTGTGGCAAGTTAGGTTTGTTGAATGTGGCAGTTGGTTTCTGATAGATATATACTGACTGACAATTTATGAAAGGCATCATTATCTTGTATTTGAGGCATCTTAATTTAAGGTAATAAAAATATGTATTTTGATGATTGGGAAGTGGAAGATGGGGAGAAAGGCAGTGAGAGATATAAGCTGGGCAAGGAGGCAGGAGAAGTTATGAAAACAAAAAATTGGGTAAGATAGTAACTAATCATTCTGCAGAACTTTGTCTTGTATTAAAGAGATGTTCTTTTAGTGTCGCTCACATTTATGAAGAATATCTGTGCAGTATGAAAGCAGGTTAGAAAGAGCAGTACACTAAGGAGTTTGCAGAAGATAAGACTTGAGATGAGCACTTTTCCTTCTGTTTTAATTGATGTTCCCTTATACACACCAATCTGATACTTTAAATGCGAAAATTTCTAGTGACAGTGATAGAACCTAGAATAAATAATCTGCAAGTTTCTGTGTGGGAAGGTGTTATAAATGTGTATAAAGGACTAAGTTCAGGAGGAAAACCAGGGATTGTAAATAGCAATGTATACACCACTGTCAACATGTACTGAGTTTTCTTTCGTGTAACATAATGTGTCAGTCAAAATTGAAGGAAGAGGTAGTAATGAACTGTTTTACTTTGTTCTCTTCAGGATCTAGCAGATCCTCGAAAACTGCCTCCTGTGGTTGGCTGGAAGAAATACCCACTGTTTTTTGGGACGGCAGTATTTGCTTTTGAAGGAATCGGTGTGGTAAGTGCTTTTTAGACTCTTCAAAATCACTGGTTCTGTGCTGGGGATACAGGTAGTTCTACTCCTGTTGCTATTTGATTGGTTTTGTTGAAGCACTAATCTCCTGTGTTGGTATGAAAAGGATTAATTTGTCTGGTCAAATAAGGTGAAAATTGTTGACATAACATCCCCATCACTTGGGTGCTTAACCCAATTCCAGATTGCAAAAATTACTTTAGTCTCAAATAGTTAGTGTCAGGAAAATCCACAACCACCTGAGGTTTATGTCCAAAAAGGAGACAGAGGAGTCCTGCGACTTTATTTAAATAAAGGGAGAACATCCTCTGGGGCACACGCCCATGGCATTTTCTCTCTCAGTGTTTCAGTGATTGCAGCCTCCTTTTAACCTAAACTCACAGCTGTATGTTGCCTCTTCCTTTCCCCATTGGCTGAAGTACTGGATAGTTGCAGCCTTCCCAAACAGCCTACCACATATTCCATCCTTGACCCTACTATTTTACCCCAAAGTTCAGAAGTTTAGGCTTGTGCAGACCCACTTGGTTGTTTCAGGAGCCAAGTTCCCAGGGCTCTGTAATGGACCTGCTGCCCAAAGTCAGTAGAGACATTAAGACTTATTTCAAAGATGTTAACACCCATCCCTTCACCCATCAAATTATTTATAAAGACAATAGCTTTCCTTTCATTAGGTAACCAGTTTGGTTCCACGTGTTATATTTTAAAAAGTAGCTAAAGAGGCTTCTGGGAATGGTAGGTCATAAATTGTTGGGAAATTACTGTGTATGCTTTATTTGCTGTATATAGTTACATACTTAAGCAAGTGTTATCCTTAAAGTGTATGCTTAAAATCAAAAAACAACCAACCAACCCCTCCTTCTTTCCACACCCCATCCACCAATAAAACCCTGAACAAACCCAAACTAAAACAACCCCAAAGTAGCATGCAATTAATCTGAAATGATTGTCTGTCACTCATATAACACAGCAGATTTTCAGGTCTGTTTTCTTTTTTAGATTTGTTAACTCTGACTTAAACCAGATTATTTTACCTTGCTGCTGTGTTAACAGTAGCAGAAGAGCTGAATAAGAAAACCTTTTAACTTACATTACAAAAGTGTGTTTGCAACCTCTTTTCCACTGTCTCTCACATATGAACTGATTGATGCAGAGGTTTAGCCATATATCTGAGTGTATCTGAACATCTTTCCTTTTGTCATTTGGAAGTTTCATTATAGGAGATCAGCTGTTCGCCTGAGATTATTGATACCTACAGGTCTTGGGCAAAAAAACCTCCCCAGGCTCAGAGAATCAGATTGGACTACACTAAACTTGTTACTCTTAGGTTATATAGTCTGCCTGGGACAGACTGCACTTGCTGTGTGTGTTACGCACAGTAGGTCCAGCATGTCCCAGTTGTATCAGGTTTGCTCGTGTACTGCATAGCACACAGATATTTGTAGCCAGAGAATCCCAACTGAGAGTCCTGTAAGCCTCAGGTAGGTAATGAAGACTTATCATTTGGTAGCAGTATTTTATTGAATTACAGCTAGGAAATTGGTTTATGGTAATTATTTTCTGGCACATTAAATCCCAAATTAGACAGCTCCTTAAATTTACATCAGCACTGACTTCTGATATAAACCTTTTAAAGAACTGCCCACAGCATTTTCTTATTTGGCACCCTGGTTATTACTAAGGACATCTTTAAGAACTCCAAATTTTTTTCTCTGTATTATTGAAGAGCTTAATGATATAGGGTTTATTCTATTTGTACCTTTAAAATGTAAAAATACTACTTTATATTTAGATATTAGTGTTATATAGGTACTGCATATATTTCTGCATAGGCTGTCTCTATTTTTCACTTGGTCATAATTTACTCCCTCTTCAAAGCAAATGGAAAGCATGGTTAAGTTTTCACCTTGTTATTAGTATTTGCAAACTGATTAAATGTTTATATCTGTTATGGTTCAATACACTTTGTGTATGTGCTTACATTACACAAAACCGTTAATATGATGTGGCTACCTTTAAAAATGGAAATGAAAGTGAAAATCTATACCTTAATGTCTGTTCCTTATATGCAGAATGATATTAAGATGTCCCTGCCTCTCAGGGAGATTTTGGACATGCAGAATGTTTGTTGTGCATGCTTATGCTGTATTTGCCTGCACTATAGAGAAAATTTGAAGAAAAAACTGTTTCATATATTTGAATAATCAGAACTAAACAAAATTGTTGAAGCATGAAAAAAAAGGTAAGTGAAGCAAAGCAAGACAAGACATTTCCTCTTTACATAACTAATGTGGTTGAGTTCTGGTGAGGAAAAAAAAGCTCCATTTAATTAGATTGGTTCCTTGGTCTACTCTGTCTCACTGCAGGCACTTAAAATGGATTTATGTAATCTTGGTCTTGGTTTTAGAGACTTGATTTTAGATTCTGTTCTGGAATGTCTTGCAAATATCTCATATTACTCTGAAGCTGTCTGAACATGGCATTATAAACAGAAGCCTTAAGATCTTAATTCTCAGAAAAGTTGGTTTTGATTGCTTAATTTTATACAATAAGTTGGCCTGAAACAGTTATGAGGTCTCATTTTCCTTCTCCTTGAATCTGAATGTGTGTTTTGCCAGTTCTCATTTTGAGAGCTGCCAGATTACTGGGTCTTATGAAAAGGGACAAAGAAATGCTGAGGTTTCGGGCTGGTGCAGTCATCTTAAGCAGAACCTGACAAGAGAGGAAAACTGTTCTCAGTGTGTTTGCTTGGGTTTTTTTCATCCCATTGTTCCAAAAGATGTATATTAATTTTTTTTTATTTTTGGTTTAGCACTTTTCATCACTTAAAATATGACTATAGTTCGTTAGTAACTAATGAAAATTAGTGACACTAATAAATAAGCTAATAATAAAACTAATAATAAAACAGAAGACCTGTTCACTAAATGGAATGTGTTTCAGAGAGCTGCAATGATTCAGCAGGTTCCTACTAGAATTTTCTTCTTGATCTCAAGAGACCATGTTTGTCTTACAGATGATGAGTGTATGAACATGGGTTTTGGTTGAAATCTATAATTAGCTTAGGACTGATGAGCTGTCATAGTGTTATAAGAAAATCAGCAGTATGGAATTTGGAATGTTCTTGCTTTGACTGTAGACAATCCCTAAATAAATAGACTTGAAGAACCTCAGTTTTACTGACTCGAGTCTTTAATAACTCAAAGGTGGACTATTTATAATTGAAATATAGAATCTCAAACCAAGGTAGTGCCTAGAAAGTAACACTTGGGTAACTAAGAGATAGTTTAAACATTTCATCAGCCAGTGTTCTAAAAGTATTTTGAAATATTTTCCATTAAAATAAAAACAATTAATATGATGAATTGATGATATTAATGTGATGAATCAAGCTGTTCATATCTGCCTGTGAGATCAGTCTAGACTCTTATTTGATGGCAGGTTTGAACAATTTTGTCATTTTGCTAAAGTCCAGGCAGGTTGTTTTTTTCTTGCTACAACTGCTGTAGCAGTTAGTGCTATTGAAGAGCTGATTAATGTTAATTCATGCTACACTCTGAGTGATGCTTGTAACAGGATTAAGATGTGCTGCAGTCAGTTGCTTGTGCTATTCATTTAGTTGTTGCCTTTTAGAGATGTCTGTAAAAATGGGGTTACTGCAGATTGGTCTAAGGTTGCTGCTGCAAATGGTGGCTGTCTTGACGGCTGGGTGGGGATCATTACTGTGTGGGAACAGGAGAAGATGGCAGCAGGGGCACCCAGTGAACCTGAGTTACCAAACAGCAGCTGAGAGCTTAGTACTGTCAGTCTCGGGGTTACCATTCATAGTATTGAGAGTTGCTTTGGGGTTTCAACACTTGTAAGTTTAGGTTTTGAGATCATCAGGGTGACCTTGTGAAAATCCTACTGACTAGTGACATCAGTTCGGTTTGTGGAACAGCAGTGGCAACAGAAATGCAGTACTCTTAAGTGGATTCAACAAACCATGTAAGATATTTGGTTTTGTTTAAGCTTTCAAGTGAAGATTCCAGTTCAGCAGGCAGAATGTTGATTTGGAAGTGAAGAAAATGTATATTCAGCCTGCTGTGAACCTTTTTGAATACAGGACTGTGTACAGGGCTGGGAGATTCTGCAGCTGCTGCTTTACGTCTGTAGTTTGGTTCTCTCTGGCTGTGGGTTCCCTGTGCCAGATGATGCTGCCTGGCAAATCATGGGGCTGGTGTTCAGTCCACAGAAGAGAAGAGAATACCAATGCTACTACTTGAATACAGGAGCTGTGGGTGATGTAGTAGAGTGAAGATGTCTTTCACAGAATATGCAACATTATTTTGTTACGTCTTCTGTGAAAGCATTATTTTTTAAGATACATAGATTTTAAGCCACATTTGAGTGGCTCTTTCATGTTCCAAAGGTGAGTAGGCCTGGTTTTAAAATTAATGTGAGATTTTGTTATTGAATTAAAAGTAACTTCAGACCAAGTTTGCCCAAAATGAAGTTAAGAGTCTTGAACGCCCTTTTTAGAAGGGTGTAAACCAGCGCCTTCAGGCTTGGCTCTGTCTGTAGCATTGCCATGTGCAGGTAATAGCTTTGCATAATGTTGTGCTTATGTAATACCAGTTACACTTAATGAATATTTTGAGTCAAAAGTCAGATTGTGTTTCTTGTTCTAGATATAAAAAAACAGATCCAAATGTGGAAGTGATATTTTATAATAAGCTTCAGGAGGAAGAAGCAAGCAATAGAATCATAACATTTAAACAAGAAATATAATTTTCCTTCTCCATTACATATAAATATGCTAAGTTAACTACAGCTTTTACAACTGAGTATGAATTTTTTCCCTCCTGTTGAGTCCTGCAGACAGATTAGCTTAGTGAAGAGAAAAACATTACTTTCCAACATTAATTTCAGGTCTGGAAAATAAGACTTCTTATATTTTGGCCTATTACTTGAAGATGTCTATTCAAACTGCTTTTGAACTTGGATAT